AAATAAATTAAGTAATAAAATAGCTAATAATTAATTAAATTATATTAAACCTATAAAATATTGACTTAAGCCTTATTATAAAATTAAATATTATGCCGACGGCTTGTAAAATTAATAAATAAATAAATAAATAAATAAATAATAATAATAATAATTTACAAATTTATAAGATTATGGGATTGAAAAGATGATGAAATTCTATATGAGATAGCATTGTTCAAATATTGCGTTGTTTAAATAAAAGTAACTTTAAAAAATCCAGCAATTGATAAAAAAATGGATAGGTATTAATTTGTAGGACATTTTTTTAAATTTTTGAAAATTTCTCAAAGTATGTGCTTGAATACATAAAGGTCTATGACTGAAAAATTTTATTGGTTTTTCAAAAATACAACAATTTCCCAATAACCATTACCAAATTTTATAAAAATTTTGATAAATAAAAAAACAACCCTAAAGAAACGTTACATTTTTTAAAATTATTTTTATATTAGTGACTTCTGTATATTATTTAACTAATTTATACTGAATTTTATTTACTTTTCAAAAATACGACTAAACGTAAATAAACTCTTTCAAAAACTTTACAATATTTAACAAAACTAAAAACTAAAATTGTCCTTATTGTTTAATACTTGTCTGAAGTTCAGCAATATTTTTATAACTATTTGAATCAAAGCAGCATATTTATATTATTTATACATATTATGTCAAATTTAATCTATTTTTCAAAAATATAATTATACATATATCAACTTTTCCAAAAATTTTGCAACGTTTATTTATTTAAGTTAAGCAACTTTTTATAACTATTTGGTTCAAAGCAACATATTTATATTATTTATATTTTGTGCCAAATTTTATCTTCTTTTCAAAAATATAACTAAACATATATCAACTCTTTCAAAAATTTTACAATATTTAACAAAAACTAAAAACATAATCTTAAATAGTTCTTATTGTTTAATACTTGTCTGAAATTCAGCATTTTTTTATAATTATTTTGATCAAAGCAGTATATATATTTATTTTATTTATACATCTTGTGCCATTTTTTTTTCAAAAATATAACAAAATTTATATCGAATCTTTCAAAAATTTTACCATATTTAACAAAAACTAAAAATATAACCTTAAATTGTCCTTATTGTTTAATACTTGTCTGAAATTCAGCATTTTTTTATAATTATTTTGATCAAAGCAGTATATTTATTTTATTTATGCATTTTGTGCTTAAACTTAGCTACAAAAACTATATCACAATCTACAACCAAAATTTTGCAAAAACGCACGACCAAAAAAAAAAAAAAATTTAATACTCAGAATTACATAAGTTTCTATTACAACTAGAGGTACATAGACCCTCTGAGGGTCTCCTCGTCTAGACAAGACCTCACATTGTATATTTACTTGTTTAGAATTTCTGAATGAAAAAAAAATTGACGTAACACATGACCTCAAGGAGAAAAAACTTTGAAAAAAAATATATATAGATACTTCCGGATAAAATTAAGTACTCGGATTACTTTAGAAGAAAAAATTTGAGTCAGACTTTTATTAGAAGAATACAGATTTTTACAAAATTTTGGCGCCGAATTGTGACATTTTTTGATGTAGAAATATGATATGTTATTTAACTATTTTGTGTAGAATTTGATAAAATATTTTTGCTAATAATTTTATCGAAGAAATAAAATCTTACAGGTAATTTATTATGAGAGTATACGACCTTATAAAAATTTTAAAAATATAAGCAATAGCTTTAGACAATTTTTATCTGAGAAAATGTTTTAGATAATACAATTAGCTACAATTTTATCTAATATCATATTTAGTAACAAAATACTGTTTAGAAGTTATTAACAAAAATATGAACTAGCTGTAAGTGGAATTCTGTCTTGAGGCAATGATGGCATCGTGCTTTAAGGCAAATTTGCTGGAACTTCCCGTACCGTAACAAATAGTTTTCAAATAGATTATTATTAATATTGTAACATTGTCTAATATTTATAAGAATTATATAAACTGAATTGCAAAGTTGAAATTATTTGTAAAGTATATTAAAACTATAGTCAGAATTAAAAATAAAATCTGAATTAAAAAAAAAAAAGTTGGAACAAAATTTTTTATTTCCAAAATCAATTATTTTGTTAAGACAAGCAGAAAGTTCTTTGAATCATTTAAATCGGACGCTTAGTCCTCGCAAAAACTGCCATTTTTTACATATTTAGCTCCGTATTTTCGAAATGGCTGGGCCTGCCTTTGCCAAAAACGAATAAACACTTCTCCCAATCATTACTAATTGAATGTTTTTTAGATCATTCAAATCGGATACTCCGTTCTCTCAAAAAGTCGATTTCTATTTTCTGCATTCTTTGCTCCGTATCTCCGAAACGACGACTGGACCTGTCTTTCCAAAAAACTAATCAGCACATTCCCTATCAATAGAAATCGAATGTTTTTTTAACCATTCAAATCGGTTGATCCGTGCGCCCGAAAAACGTGACTGGAAATTTGTATCCATTACATACATACACACACACATCCATTTTTTCTGAGGTATGCCAAAATGTTCAGAAACTTTCAAAACGTCGAGAAATGTAAAATTTTCAATTTCGATTTTCGGCCCATTACAATAACTTACCCTACGGGAAGTTAAAAAATGACTTTAGACTAGACAACACTAGTCGCCATTTACCATCAGTTTCGACATTATTCAAGTTCAAAAATATAAATAAAATGTTTTAGATAATTCAATTAGCTACAATTTTATCTAATATCATATATTTAGTTACAAAATACAGTTTAGAAGTTAATAGCAAAAATGTTAAAAAATATCTTTACTCAACTGTGCAATTTTTCAAAATATTTTAAAAATATAATTAATAACTTTACATAATTTTTGTCTGAGTAAATATTTTAGATAATTCATCTAGCTATAATTTTCTCTAATACAATTGTATTAGAGAAAATTATAGCTAGATGAATTATCTAAAATATTTACCTAAAATTTAAAGTTTTCGAGTAATCGATACAATCATGAATAAATATCCTGAATCTACATCACTAAAGTAACTGTGAATTATTATGTAACAATTGCAATGCATCAAATAAATATTTTTCTGAATTAAAATCAGTTTTAAAGTGACTTTCGTCGGGTTTGTATGAATATTTTATTTAATCGAATTAAATCGGATTTATTTTAGTGTTAAATGTAAAATTAAATTGTGTAGTTATCAGTTTAAATAATTTTAAAAGTGATTTTAATTTTTGTATTTAAATTGATGGTTTTGTGGAAGATGTTTACGTGAAAGTACCAAAAAGTAAGTTAGAAAAATATTAATTAAATAATTTAGAAAATAAATTATATACATTTTATAGCATTTAAACAAAATATTTCTTTATAGTGTATGAATGTATTTTTATATCAATAGGGAAAATTAATTTGATTAGAATTAAAACGAACATTCATATTAATATTACTAAGTAAAGTGTTTGCCTGATGGGTAGCAATTGACATTTATTTATTTTTACTTTTAAATTACTTCTTATAACTAAATTTTGTCTTTGACAAAGTTATAGCGGAATAAATTCTCTAAAACTATTTACTCATACCGTAATATCGTAAAATTCGTGCTTACTCTTTTAAAATATTTTTAAACTTTTATAATGTTGAAATCGTGTCGGCCATTTTGTTGTACAAAGCGATTGTTTTGTGTTTTTATTAATAACTTTTATATTACTAATTATAACTAAATACTGTCTTTGACAAACTTATAGCTGAATAAATTCTCTAAAACATTTTCTCAAACAAAAATGTTGTAATATTTGTGCTCACATTTTTAAAATATTTTTAAACTTCCATAATGTTGAAAACGTGTCGGCCATTTTGTGGAACAAAGACATTTTTCTGTATTTTTACTAATAACTTTTAAATTACTTTTTATAAATAACTCTAGTATTTGACAAAGTTATAGCTGAATAAATTTTCTAAAACATTATCTCAAACAAAAATGTTGTAAAATTTGTGCTTACATTTTTAAAATATTTTTAAACTTCCATAAAATTGAAAATGTGTCGGCCATTTTGTTGTACAAAGACATTTTTCTGTATTTTTACTAATAACTTTTAAATTACTTTTTATAAATAACTCTAGTATTTGACAAAGTTATAGCTGAATGAATTTTCTAAAACAAAAATGTTGTAATATTTGTGCTTACATTTTTAAAATATTTTTAAACTTCCATAATGTTGAAATCGTGTCGGCCATTTTGTGGAACAAAGACATTTTTCTGTATTTTGATTAATAACTTTTAAGTTACTCATTTTTAACAAAGTTATAGATGAATAAATTCTCTAAAGCATTTACTTAGACAAAATGGATGCGCTTATATTTTAAAAAAAATTAAAAGTTGACCGTGGTATATTTCAGGATAGTTAATACATTTTTTGGTATTATTGTTACTAACTTCTAACTTACGTCTTCAATCTAAATTTAATATTAGATGAAAGTGTAATTATTTATTAAGTTTATTAAAAATCATATCTTGTAAATTGGTACTAGTATATTAAAAATAGTTCCAAAGTTACATAAGACTTCTGAGACTCATTGAGTATATACTGCCTTATGTAAAGACATTTTTTAAAATTCATAATAACTTCTAAACTTCTGTTTAAAATTAAATACGGTTTTAGAGAAAGTTAAATCTGACCAATTTGTATTTGAACCTGAAACCAATGGTTACTAATCCGCATTAATAATATTTAATTTATAGAAATTAAAATATTAATAAGAAATTACAAAACAAGATAGATATTATGTGGTGTTTACTGAATATTTCATACTATTTATACATTTCATTACTTAAGAAAATTTTACAATATTTAAATTTAAGTAAACAAATATGCTTATATTTCATTGATCTTCATCACGCTTCTGACTATGAAGTACCATATGTTTCTCCAAATCCTTCGATTGAGTAAATTCTTTATTACATACTTTATTTATCATAATGCTCTCGTTTATGAATCAGCATGTGCCTTTTCAGATGACCACTTTCTATAAATGTTTTTTTGCATATATTGCATTCATGAGAGTGCTCGCCACTGTGAGAGCGCTTGTGGAATTTTAGATTATGTAAATGTCTGAATGTCTTTTTGCATATATTGCATTCATGAGGCCTTAATCCAGTGTGAATGATCATGTGACGTTTCAGATTACTTAATTCTGCAAATGTCTTATTGCATATATTGCATTCACAGGGACATACTCCACTGTGTATCAGCATGTGACTTTTCAGATTGCTCGATTGCGTAAATGTTTTTTTGCATATATTGCATTCGTGGGGACGTGCTCCACTGTGTATCAGCATGTGCCTTTTCAGACCTCCTGCTTGTGTAAATTTCTTATTGCATATATTGCATTCATGGGGACGTACTCCACTATGCATCAGCATGTGACGTTTCAGATTACCTTTTTCTGTGAAAGTCTTTTTGCATACATTGCATTCATGGGGACGCTCACCACTGTGAATGAGCATGTGCCTTTTCGCATTACGTAATCGATTGAAAGTCTTGTAACAGATTTCACATTTGAAAGGACTTTCTTTGCTATTATTAGGCATATGATCGATCATATGCTCTTTTAAATGATGTGTTTCCGTAAATAATCTATTGCAAATGTCACATTCATGAGTTAATGTTTCAACTAACTCCTGTTTGACTTCTTCTTCAATTTTCACCTCGGAATTCATAAATCTTTCTAAACACGTATCATCATCTTCAGAACACGATTCAGATTTAACAGCAACATCAGGATAATCAAATTCATCCTCCATTTCGAGTTTAATGTCTTCTGGTGAATATTCTGGTGGTTCAATTTTAATTGTCTGATCATTCATAGACATAATTGTTTTTTTTTACCATTTATCAATAGTTATAATCAATGTGATAAATAATTTCAACTTTATTATTTGACATTTGACGCATAGAGTTCTTTTACAGCAGTAAATAGAGTAGACTAGAAACCCTAGACAATATAATAATAGAAGAAACTATATTGCAATGGCGCTTCAATCGCCTTCCAATCGCCATTCAAATTGAAGCGCTAAAATTTGAAATAAAAATATTTGTACTTTAAAAATATTGTACTATTAACAAAAAAAAAAATTAATTTTAAAAATAGTTTATTAGAATTTTAATTTTGCATCGCTATATTAAGTAATAATAAGAATATTTCAATCAAGAGTATATATTATGATATATGCTAGGGTCAAATCAAATCAATAAAAGAAGAAAAAACAAATATGACTACAGATTTAAATATAAATCACACATTATCATAACAATTTTCATTGGACTCTAGCTTGTTACTACAGTAATGTTAGTAAAATACCCTCATATGTCATTAACAAATTATAATACATGATTCAGAAATACGATATCTAGTGATAACAAAATGAATTAAAATACAGTCTTGAGTATTCACATTATACGAAGTTAGAATATCTTCATTCAAGCTAGACTAGCATTGTCTGAAGCTTTTAATATAATAATAATGCTTTTAATGAAATAATCGCACCTTCCGTTTTATCAAGCGTAATACACAATACACTACATTATGTATTACATAAATTCTATACTTTCTATTATATACACTACACTTCTTCTGCATTTAAAAGTCATACTTTTTGTGTAGAAACGTATTCGCTAAGGAGAACTCAAATTGACTGAAGCGCTCGTAGTGGTCATTCTGAGCACTACTATACTCTTCTTTTATCTATGGCTATGCTATTATCATAGATAAAAGAAGAGTTTCTACTCTCTCTATGCTTCAAATGCCAAATAATATAAAAGTTGAATTTATTTATCACATTGACTAAAATTATTGATAAATCTAGACTTTTATTTAGCACAAAACTATTTTCGTAAATTTTTTGTGAGTATAAGCAGTGAAAATATTCAAAAATGTCGGAAGAAACAATTATGTCTATGAATGATCAGACAATTAAAATTGAACCACCAGAATATTCACCAGAAGACATTAAACTCGAAATGGAGGATGAATTTGATTATCCTGATGTTGCTGTTAAATCTGAATCGTGTTCTGAAGATGATGATACGTGTTTAGAAAGATTCATGAATTCCGAGGTGAAAATTGAAGAAGAAGTCAAACAGGAGTTAGTTGAAACATTAACTCATGAATGTGACATTTGCAATAGATTATTTACGGAAACACATCATTTAAAAGAGCATATGATCGATCATATGCCTAATGATAGCAAAGAAAGTCCTTTCAAATGCGAAATCTGTTACAAGACTTTCAATCAATTACGTAATGTGAAACAGCACATGCTCATTCACAGTGGTGAGCGTCCTCATGAATGCAATATATGCAAAAAAACATTCACACAATCAGGCACTCTGAAAAGTCACATGCTGATACACAGTGGAGTACGTCCTCATGAATGCAGTATATGCAAAAAAACATTTGCGCTATCTTGTAATCTGAAAAGTCACATGCTTATTCACAGTGGAGTACGTTCTCATGAATGCAGTATATGCAAAAAAACATTTGCGCAATCGAGCAATCTGAAAAGTCACATGCTGATACATAGTGGAGTACGTCCTCATGAATGCAATATATGCAACAAGACATTCACGCAATCAAGTTCTCTGAAAAGTCACATGCTGATGCACCAAAGAGTACGCTCTCATGAATGCAATATATGCAACAAGACATTCACAAAATCAAATGATCTGAAACGTCACATGCTGATACACAGTGGAGTACGTCCTTATGAATGCAATATATGCAACAAGACATTCACACAATCAAGTAATCTGAAAAGTCACATGCCGATACACAGTGGAGTACGTCCTCATGAATGTGATATTTGCAATAAGACATTCAAGCAATCACATCTTCTGAAACGTCACATGCTGATACACAGTGGAGTACGTCCCCATGAATGCAATATATGCAATAAGAAATTTACACAATTAAGTCATTTGAAAAGTCACATGCTGATACACAGTGGAGTACATCATGAATGCAATATATGCAACAAGACATTCACGCAATCAGGTAGTCTGAAAAGTCACATGCTGATACATAAACAAGAGCATTCCTGTAAATGTGAAGTATGTAATAAGGAATTTACTCAATCAAATGATTTGAAGAGACACAGGGCACTTCATAGTCAGAAGCGTGGTGAAGATCAATGAAATATAAGTTATTATATTTGTTTACTTAAATTGTAAAACTTTATTGCATGTAATGTAATGTATAAATTATATGAAATACACAGTAAACACTACATAATATCTATCTTGTTTTATAATTTCTTATTCATATTTTAATTTTTATAAATTATTATTAATGAGGATTAGCAACCATTAGTTTCAGGTTCAAATACAAATACCAATCTTGGTCAGCAGTATATTATTATTCGCAAGAAAAAAGTATGGATTTAAAATAATTTAGCGAATCATTCTTACAATTTATTTGTGTATTTCTAGATAAGTTTCATGATAATGCCTCGAATAAAGAATCCGTGAATACATATTATATTTTATTAACGTAAAAAAGGCATACTTACTTATGAGGTATTTATGAACAACATTCAATAGATTTACATATTATAAATAAATAACAACTTGTTGCCTAATTATTATTATGTTAGGTATGCTAAAACTCTAAAAAGACTGTACGCTTTTGGCCAGTTTTAGTCTTGGAAAATTCGTGCTAATCCAGAGGTTGTGGAAGAAGTTGAAATATTATTTTAAAACCTCGTAGAAAATTTACATTTTTAATATAATATTTTTGGTAGAAACGCAATTCAAAATGAAACAATCGGTGGCGGCTCATACGTCAAACGTCAAATGGTTTTAATTTCAATTAAATATTTTTTTTGAAATGTTAATATGAAAATACTGTTTTTAGCTTTATCACACTCTTTTTGGGAAAACGTATTTATTTCAATTCCTGTACTCTAAAAGCACTCATTTGTATAACTTTATAGTCATTTGTATTTATAGAATATTTTTTAGATTATAGTTTCTTTAAATTAAGATCCTAAATTTGGAATCGATCTAAGAGTTTTTTATAAAATACGAAAAACTCAATTTTACATAAAAAACAATATTTTCATCACAGAAAAATGATGACTGTAAATGAAGAAATTCAACAAAAATCAGAATTATTATTATTATATTATTATTAATATTATATTATTATTTCTAATATTGTTATTTTGTTATATTAATTATTATCTTTCACTTATTGTTTTTATTCTACTTTATTGTTTTTCTAGTATTATTTTTATTATTCAGAAATTTTACTTATTAATTATATTATATAATATTTACTTATTAATTATATATAATAATTATTATTATTTGCTTTTGTTTTATAGTTAAATCAACATACTACGGCCGTAGTATCCGGATATTATTTTATTGAAAATTATATTCTTTTTATTAAATTTATATAATTGTTCATTGTTGTTACTAGATATTAATTATTTAGCAGTTGTAACAAATATAGTAATTAAAACCAAATGAGCTGTCCCATTCTGTATTTTAATGTTAAAAACGTGTCGGCCATTTTGTGGTACAGAAACGTTTTTCTGTATTTTTTGAAATAACAGCTAAATTATTTGTCTTTAACAAAGTTGTAGCTGAATAAATTTTTAAAAACAGTTTTTCCAACAAAAATTCAGTAATATTCTTGCTGATATTTTAAAAATATTTTTAAACAATGTTGAAATCGTGTCAGCCATTTTGTGGTTACAACCACAAAAAATTTTTTTTGCACTTTGATTAATATAACTTTTAAAAAACTTATGATACTTATGATTTATATAAATACTGTCTTTGACAAAGTTATTGCTGATTAAATTCTCTAAAACATTTTCTCGTAATAGTAGTATTGTAAAAATTCTGCTTATATTTTTAAAATATTTCTAAACTTGCATAATGTTGAAAACGTGTCGGCCATTTTGTGGTACAAAGACATTTTTCTGTATTTTTGTTAATAAGTTTTAAATTACTTATTATAACTAAATATACTGTCTTTTACAAAGTTATTGCTAAATGAATTCTCTGAAACAATTAGACAAAAATATTGTAAAATTTACATTTATTTATATATATTTTTTGCTAAGTTGTCCGTGGCATATTTCTGGACTGTAAAGGCATTATTTGGTATTTGTGTTACTAACTTCTAAATTACGTGTTCAATCTAAATTTAATAAATATAGCTTAATTAATTATTAAGTTCATTAGAAATCGTATATTGTAAATTTAGTACTAGTATATTTAAAATAGTTCCAAAGCTACATATAAGACTTCTTAAGACTCATTGATGAGTATATACTGCTTTGTGCAAAGACATTTTTTTTATATAAACTATAAACTTTTGTGTTTATAATTTTATGTGTATATTATAGTTTATTTATTTTTGTAAAATAAGATGAAATTTAGATTAGAATGTAGTACAAAAATACAAGATAAACCATTGGGCTTTCCATCTAGAAAATGCCACTAAATGAGAAACTAGAATTTCAAAACCAATTACTCAATGTCTATCTAAAGACAAAATTAATAACTTTTAAGCTGCTTTTCAAAGTTAATCACAGTCTTAGAGAAAATTATAGCTAAACAATTTTTTCAAAATATTGTTGAACAATAAAATTATGCACAACTAGTGCAAATATTTTTAAAATATTTATAAACTTGCATAAAGCTAAAAACACTTAGATCGTGCCTGGACATTTTTTTATATTTATATCAATAGCTTCTAAACTGTAATAGATAATCAAATATAATCTTATACAAAATTAAAGCTAATTAGATTATCTAAAATAATTACTAATAAAATATTTTTAAAAAATTAGTGCAAACTAGTGGTGTATGGCATCGCTGGACCTTTATTTTTTGTAAAAATGATTCTTTTTATTTTAATTTGTAAGAATGATTTATTTTTTTTTTTTAAATCCATACTTTTTGGTAAAATATAATATTCCTTGTGAATATTTATTATCACTACTGCTGACCAAGATTGGTATTTGTATTCAAACCTGAAACCAATGGTTACTAATCCTCATTAATAATACTTAATTCATAAAATTTAAAATAATAAAAAATTATAAAATAATATTGATATTATGTAGTGTTTACTGTATATTTCATACTGTTTATACATTCCGCAAGAAAATTTTACAATATTTAAATTTAAGTAAACAAATATGCTTATATTTCATTGATCTTCATCAAGCTTCTGACTATGAAGTACCATATGTTTCTTCAAATCCTTCAATTGAGTAAATTCTTTATTACATACTTTATTTATCAGGATGCTCTCGTTTATGAATCAGCATGTGTTTTTTCAGATTACTAGATCGTGTAAATTTCTTATTGCATACATTGCATTCATGAGGACGTACTCCACTGTGTATCAGCATGTGACATTTAAGATTACCTTTTTCTGTGAATGTCTTTTTGCATATATGGCATTCATGGGGACGCTCACCACTGTGTATCAGCAGGTGACATTTCAGATTACTTGATTGCGTGAAAGTCTTGTTGCATATATTGCATTCATAAGGGCGCTTACCACTGTGAATGAGCATGTGGCATTTTAGATCATGTAAATGTGTGAATGTATTATTGCATATATTGCATTCATGAGGGCGCTCACCTCTGTGAATGCGCATGTGGGATTTTAGAGTAAATAAATGTCTGAATGTCCTTTTGCATATATTGCATTCATGAGGTCTTAATCCAGTGTGAATGATCATGTGACGTCTCAGATTACTTAATTCTGCAAATGTCTTATTGCATATATTGCATTCGTGGGGACGTACTCCACTGTGTATCAGCATGTGATTTTTCAGAGTGCCTGATTGTGTGAATGTTTTTTTGCATATATTGCATTCGTGGGGACGCTCACCACTGTGAATGAGCATGTGCCTTTTCAGATCACTTAATCGATAAAACACCTTGTAACAGATTTCGCATTTGAAAGAACTTTCTTTGCTATTATTAGGCATATGCTCGATCATATGCTCTTTTAAATGATGTGTTTCCGTAAATGATCTATTGCAAATGTCACATTCATAAGTTGATGACTCAACTAACTCATGTTTGACTTCTTCAATTGTCACCTCGGAATTCATGAATCTTTCTAAACACGTGTCATCATCTTCAGAACACGATTCAGATTTAACAATAACACCAGGATCATCAAATTCATCCTCTATTTCGAGTTTAATGTCTTCTGGTGAATATTCTGGTGGTTCAATTTTAACTGCCCAATCATTTATAGACATAATTGTTTCTCTTCCGACATTTTTAAATATTTTCACAAAAAATTAAAAAATAGTTGTGTGCTAAATTATAGTCTAGGCTTATTAATAATTTTTTAATGTGATAAATAATTATAACCATAGATAAAAGAAGAGTATACATGATTAATGATTACAATTACAATTTTTACATTTATTATTTGACATTTGAAGCACAGAGAGAGAGTATATTTCTAGAAAGATGAGGACTAAATTTGTTACAGTTTTTTTTTTGGTCTCTGTATCAAGATTTTTAATTTGCCAATCACTTAGACGGTTCACACAAATTTCAAAATTTTCAGAATTTTTTTTTTCAAAATATTTAAAAATATACAAATTTGAAGGTTTCTGGATATTTTGGCATACCTCAGAAAAAATAGATATGTGTGTGTGTTTTGTATGTCCGATTTGAATGATTCAAAGAACTTTCTGATTGTTTTAACAAAAGAATTGCTTTTGAAAAATAATTTTGTTTCAATTTTTTTTGTATATCGAAAATAATTCTAATTTTAATTTTAATTCTGACTAAAGTTCAAAAGTTCACTTATATGCTTTAAATAAATAATTTTAACTCTGCAGTTCAGTTTATATAATTCTTATAAATATTAGAGTTAGACAATGTTACAGTCAGTTTCCTTATCTATGGTTACAGTATTTATTTATAATAATCTATTTGAAAACATTCAATATTCCTCGAACATTTCGTTACGGTACGGGAAGTTCCAGCAATTAGCCTTAAGGCACGATGCCATTCACCACTAGTTATTCACACGATGTCATGCACCACTAGTTTATCTATATTATGTACAGCGTCATTACGGGTCATTACGTCGAACGCTGAACTAGCACTCGTAATGTCAAGTAAACATAAATGTAATGTAAAAATAAAATCGGGAGCGGAAACAAGTGGCGCGTCTTTTCAAATACTTTATGCTTTTCTATGTTTCTACTCTCTCTATTGCTACAAATGAACTCTATGCTTCAAATGTCAAATAATAAATGTAAAAGTTGAAATTATTTATAACATTAAAAAAAAAAATTAATAAGTCTAGACTATTATTTAGCACATAACTATTTTCTAATTTGTTTTGTGAAAGTATTTAAAATGTCGGAGGAAACAATTATGTCTATGAATGATCAAACAATTAAAATTGAACCACCAGAATATTCACCAGAAGACATTAAACTCGAAATGGGGGATGAATTTGATGATCTTGATGTTATTGTTAAAGCTGAATCGTGTTTCGAAAATGATGATACGTGTCTAGAAAGATTCATGAATTCCGAGGTGAAAATTGAAGAAGTCAAACATGAGTTAGTTGAGTCATCAACTTATGAATGTGAGGTTTGTAATAGAACATTTGCAGAATCAGATCATTTAAAAGAGCATATGGCCGATCATATTACTATTCATAGCAAAGAAAGTCCTTTCAAATGCGAAATCTGTTACAAGGCTTTTGATCGATTAAGTGTTCTGAAAAGGCACATGCTCATTCACAGTGGTGAGCGCGCCCATGAATGCAATATATGCAACAAGACATTCACACTTTTATGTAATCTGAAATCCCACATGCGCTTACATAGTGGCGAGCGCCCTCATGAATGCGATATATGCAATAAGACATTCAAGCAGTCAAGTAGTCTGAAAAGTCACATTCGGATGCACAAAGGTGTACGCCCTCATGAATGCAATATATGTAACAAGACATTCACACAATCAAGTAATCTGAAAAGTCACATGCTGACACACACAGGAGTACGTCCCCATGAATGCAACATATGCAAAAAAACATTTACGCAATCAGGCAGTCTGAAGAGTCACATGTTGTTACACAGTGGAACACGTCCTTATGAATGCAATACATGCAAAAAGTCATTCACAAAATCAAATAATCTGAAGCATCACATGCTGATGCATAGTGGAGTACGTCCTTATGAATGCAATATATGCAATAATACATTCACACTTTTACGTGATCTAAAATGCCACATGCGCATTCACAGTGGTGAGCGCCCTTATGAATGCAATATATGCAACAAGACATTCACGCAATCAAGTAATCTGAAAAATCACATGCTGATACACAGCAGTGAGCGTCCCCATGAATGCCATGTATGCAAAAAGACATTCACAGAAAGAGGTAATCTGAAACGGCACATGCTGATACACAGTGGAGTACGCACTCATGAATGCAATATATGCAATAAGAAATTTACACTAAAGGGTGCTCTGAAAAGGCATATGCAGATTCATAAACGAGAGCATCCTGATAAATGTGAAGTATGTAATAAGGAATTTACTCAATCGGACGATTTGAAGAGACATATGGTACTCCACAGTCAGAAGCATGGTGAAGATCAATGAAATATAAGTTATTATTATAATATATTTGTTCACTTAAGTTTAAATATTGTAAAATTTTCTTGCATGTAATGAAATGAAATAAATAGTATGAAATATTTATTTATTTTATTTATTTTAAATATATTTCTTCCAAGAGGACTCAAAAATACAATTATTTTACATAATGAATAACAATTAAAATATATACAAAATTACAATATTTAGTTATTAACATAAAATTTCATATAATGTAGAATGTAACAATATTATTTATAAAAAGAATAAGATAAAATAATGAGATATTTGAAAAGAAAATGAAAAGGTTAACTTGTGCAGATGGAGATTATTTGATTAGGTGAAGTTTTGTGAATATCTATTTCATTATTAATTAAGTTAAAGTTAGAGGACATAAGTAAAATAGGCGAATTTAAGAATTAGATTTAGGGGTAGGATAATTGAAAAATAATTGTGAACGCGTAGATAGCCTTGGAACATTAAAGGATAGTTGATTAAGAATAAGAGGGCAGTCTATAGAATTATTGCAAAGTTTAAATATGAACATAATTGTACAGATAAATCGACGTGAGGCAAGGGAAGGAATACCAAATTCTTTTAGTAAAGTATTGTGGTCAAAGCCACGTTCAGGGTAAATTTTATATGTTTTATAATAAAGATATTTAAGAAATTTTCGCTGAACCTTCTCTATTGCATCAGAGTTGTTGATTTGATGAGGATACCAAATAATCGAAACATATTCTAATTTTGAACGTACAATAGAATAGTACATGCAAAGAAGTGCGTTGTTAGAATTGAATTGTTTACAATTTCTCAGTATCAAACCTAAAGATTTATGTGCTCTATTACAAATATCAGTTATATGATCCGTGGAAAACAAACCAGAATCAAATAGAACTCCTAAATCTGAAATTTTATTACATCTATTAATGCTGATGTTAGAAATTTTATAATGAAAATGTATTGGAACGCGCTTATGTGAAAAACTAAGAATCTTGCACTTTGATATATTTAAATGTAATTTGTTATAGACACACCAAGAGTGAAAGAGTCAAGTTGAGACTGTATAATAATAAGCAGTCATCAATAGAATTTATTTTGAGATATAGTTTGAGATCATCTGCAAATAATAAATGTGGACAGCTAATAATATCAGATATGTCATTAATAAAAGTAATAAATAGTAGTGGACCAAGAATGGATCCCTGAGGAACACCTGAACTGATATTTTCAATGTTGCTCAAGAATTTATTAAGATAGACAAACTGTTTAAGATTATGAAGATAACTCTTAAAAAAATTAATAAGTGAAGAATTAAGACCAATCTTAGATAACTTAGTAAGAATAATGTTATGATCAATTTTGTCAAAAGCTTTACTGAAGTCAGTGTAAATAATATCAACTTGTCCATTAGTGTCAAAATTCTCAGCTAAATATTGTTTAATACAGATTAAATTTGTTATCGTAGAACGGCCAGGCATGAATCCATGTTGATTAGTAGAAATTAAAGTGCTAACAGAAGGAATTAGTTCTCTATAAATATTTTTTTCAAATACCTTGCAAAGTTTGCTAATAATGAAATCGGCCTGTAATTAGTAATGTTTGATGTATCACCTTATTTCAAAGTTGGAACTAATCGTGCAATTTTCCAACAATTTGGAAAAGTGTTTCTACGCAATGATAGATTGATTAAATAAAAATGCAAGTGGATCAGATAAAGCAGATGAGCAATCACGTGTAAAGAAAGATGGAATACCATCGAAAACAAATATTTTGGTACAATATACAGGAAGCACTACATAATGTCTATCTTGTTTCATAATTTTCTTATTCATATTTTAATTTTTATAAATTAAGTGGATTACCAACCATCAGTTCCAGGTTTGAATACAAATACCCATCTCGGTCATCAGTTGTGATATGCACAAAAGCTTCTATTATATATTTTGATACTAAAGGTGATATTTCACTCAAAGATGCTCAAAATCAATCACGAATGGTTTAAGCGCTATTTTTCATCTCGATAGCTAAATGTAACTAAATCGCATTTTTGTTTAGATTTTTATTTATATGCATAACACACCAACTGATAGTAATATATAACTATAGTGGGAGTAATGGCATCGTGCCTTAAGACAAATTGCTAGAACTTTCCGTACCGTAATTAAAAATCTTGCTACGGAACCCAAAAAAATTTACACAAAATGTGTACATATTGTTAAAATCTCTAAAAAATATCTGATAATTTGATGTACAGATGTACATTTGCCCAATAAACATTTTTGATAGCCAAATGACATTTTTTTAACTTATTTTTTTGAGAGTCAATAACCGCTGAACCTGCCTTCCCAAAAATTTAATCAGTCTTCATCTTTTTAATACAAGTAAAATGTTTTTTAAATTATTAAAATCGGACGCTCCGATCTCTTAAAAACTTAGTTACCGTCTTTGGCACTTTTTGCCCCGTATCTATATTTGAAATAAAATAATATTTCACGCGTATTTGTTCACTCCTACTCTTCTTTTATCTATGTGTTCACTATTTTGATTATAATCTTTTTATACTTGTTTATCAATGGTTATAATAGCACCACGTAGTGCTCAAAATGACCACTACGAGCGCTTCAGTCAATTTGAGTTGCCCTATGGCGTCTCCTGACACCTAGCGGTGAGAGTAACAACAGAAACGCCAATACCAACTTCATAGACACGTTGCGTATGAAGAACGTCGCAAACTGTCAAGTTGGCGACGGCGCATCGTGCAACACTTGCGTGGGCTCGAGGGATGCGAAAAATGCAATCTCACCCTCTCATCATCAACCCTTGGAAGAGTGAAGACATAAACCTAACCTCATATATCTTATATATTTTATTCAGTGAAATACTTTATACTAATTATTGTTAATTAAATTTATATACACGTTATTCAGTTCTTTTAATTATAAATATAAATAATATATAGACACGACATCTATAGCCCTTTCATATCTGCACACAAAGCAAATATGTTTCTACTCTCTCTACTGCTGTAAATGAACTCTATGCTTCAAATGTCAAATAATAAATGTAATGTAAAAGTTGAAATTATTTATCACATTGTGAAAATATAAATAAAACTAGACTATTATTTAGCACACAACTAGTTTCGTAATTTTTTTGTAAGTATAAGCAGTGAAAATATTCAAAAATGTCGGAGGAAACAATTATGTCTATGAATGATCAGACAATTAAAATTGAACCACCTGAATATTCACCAGAAGACATTAAACTCGAAATGGAAGATGAATTTGATGATCCTGGTGTTATTGTTAAATCTGAATCGTGTTCTGAAGATGATGACACGTGTTTAGAAAGATTCATGAATTCCGAGGTGACAATTGAAGAAGAAGTCAAACAGGAGTTAGTCGAGCCATCAACTTATGAATGTGACATTTGCAATAGATCATTTACGGAAACACATCATTTAAAAGAGCATATGATCGAACATATGCCTAATAATAGCAAAGAAAGTCATTTCAAATGCGAAATCTGTTACAAGGCTTTTGATCGATTAAGTGTTCTGAAAAGGCACATGCTCATTCACAGTGGTGAGCGTCCCCATGAATGCAGTACGTGCAAAAAGACTTTCACAGAAAGAGGTACTTTGAAACGTCACATGCTGATGCATAGTGGAGTACGTCCTCATGAATGCAATATATGCAAAAAAACATTCACGCATGCAAGTACTCTGAAACGTCACATGCTGATGCATAGTGGAGTACGTCCCCACGAATGCAATATATGCAATAAGAAATTTACAAACTCAAGTCAACTGAAAACACACATGCTTATTCACAGTGGAGTACGTCCTCATGAATGCAGTATATGCAAAAAAACATTTGCGCTATCTTGCAATCTGAAAAGTCACATGCTGATACATAGTGGTGAGCGTCCCCATGAATGCAATATATGCAACAAGACATTCACGCAATCAACTAATTTGAAAAATCACATGGTGATACACAGCGGTGAGCGTCCCCATGAATGCCATATATGCAAAAGGACATTCACAGAAAGAGGCACTCTTAAACGTCACATGCTGACACACAGTGGAGTACGTCCTCATGAATGCAAGATATGCAATAAGAAATTTACACTATTAGGTGCTCTGAAAAGGCATATGCAGATTCATAAACGAGAGCATCCTGACAAATGTGAAGTATGTAATAAGGAATTTACTCAATCGGACGATTTGAAGAGACATATGGTACTTCACAGTCAGAAGCGTGGTGAAGATCAATAAAACATAAGCGTATTTGTTTACTTAGATTTAAATATTGTAAAATTTTCTTGCATGTAATGAAATAAAATAAATAGTATGAAATATACAGTAAACACTACTTAATATCTATCTTGTTTGATAATTTCTTATTCATATTTTAATTTTTATACATGGTGTATTATTAATGTTGATTATCAATCATTGATTCCAGGTTTGAATACAAATACCCACCTCGGTCAGCAATTGTGATATAAGATATTCACATCGGATGTCAAGGATTGTTATATTTCACCAAAAGGTATGGATTTAAAATAATTTTTGAAATAAAACTTCACAAGGCGCGACTTATGTGTAAATCCGTACAAATGCAACGGAAATAACGTTACAGCCGAACTGTACGTCATTCGCTCTCGATGATATCATTTCTATACGGGTCGATTGTGATTAGTCGTCGTGTATGTGAATAGAGATCTGTCGTTGTATGCGTACCGGCATCAACGTTGTATGCGTACCGATATCAACAAGGAAATCGGCGTAGATAAATGATCATTTTAGAGTTAAATAGCCTGAATCAGAAGAATATTTTCCCCAGTTCCTTGAAAATAATAAAACAAATTAAACTTTTGTGCCGTGTACTAAACAGACACGATTAGAAATTATTTCTATATTATTCGTGGTTTCTATATCTTGTATATGACTCTACTTACACGCACTTTGAAACCTGTTGTCTTTATCCCGCTTAAAACGCTTTTTTTACGTTTAAACGTTTCTTAATAGTGTTCCACTGAAAATTCATTTTATCTTTTCTATCGACCAGTTCCAAAATATAATTCGAGATTTTTTGTTTAGATGGCAGTAAGTAGTGTTTTTTAAGGAAAATGTATAAGTCAGACCAATAACCCTGTTAAGATGATCATGCTTAATACGATTTCGCGCATTTGCAACTTCAAATACAAAAATAATACATATAAAGTTTGAATGAAAAAATTCAAGAGTTTCTCAAACTTGACAAAGATATTATCCTTTTTGTAAATATTTTAATTATTTAGGTACACATATACTATGGAACCCTGTTAAGACGATTATGCTTAATACGATTTCTCGCTTGATGTGCCACTTCTCGACGTCTCTGCACTTTGATATATATTGTAGCTATCCCGCATAATACGCTTTCTCGCTTAAGACTCGTTTTTGGTTATACGAGAAAATTTAGTTCCAATTTTCTCGTCAAAGATGACGGTAGTGTTTTCCAAGTAAAATGTACAAATTGAGCCAATAACCCCGTTAATACGATTGTGCTTAATACGATTTCCAGCATATTATCCAAAGCTTTATAACTTCAAATGCAAAAATAATATATGAATAAAAAAAATTCAAGGGTTTCTCAAACTTGGATATTATCTTCTTGTAAATATTTGTTTAGGTACACATAAGCGGTAGAACTCTGCTAAAACGACTATGCTTAATACGATTTCTCGCTTAAAGTGCCACTTCTCGACGTCTCTGCACTTTGATATATATTGTAGCTATCCCGCATAATACGCTTTCACGCTTAAAACTCGTTTTGGTTAAACAATTCTATAGACCCAAATTTAGTTTCAACTTTCTTCTATAGATGACGGTAGTGTTTTCCAAATAAAATGTACAAATTGAGCCAATAACCCCGTTAATACGATTATGCTTAATACGATTTCCAGCATATTATCCAAAGCTTTATAACTTCAAGTACAAAAATAATATATGAATAAAAAAATTCTAGTGTTTCTCAAACTTGGATATTATCCTTCTTGTAAATATGTTTGGGTACACATAAGCGGTAGAACTCTGCTAAAACGACTATGCTTAATACGATTTCTCGCTTAATATGTTCCTTTTAGCCGTCTCTGCACTTTGATATATTTTGTAGCTATCCCGCATAATACGCTTTCTCGCTTAAAACTCGTTTTTGGTAATACAATCCTATAAACCGAAATTTAGTTCCAATTTTCTTGTATAGATGGCGGTAGTGTTTTAAGTAAAATGTATGTTAATACGATTTCTCGCATAATACGCTATTGTGTCTGCATTCTAAAATATGTTGTATCTATTCCGCATAAAAAGCTGTTTCGCTTAAGACGAAGGTTTTAATGTAAATAAATTCAATTTACCATTTTTATCGCCCAATTTTTAGCTCCATTCATCTTGAAAAGATGACTATAGTGTTTTTGAAATATGTGTTATGGCGTTACGCTTAAACGCACTGTCATGTGTGGACAGCGTCGTGAGTTCTGATATCATGCAGTAGTGATATCAATTTTTACTTCGAAATATAGTTTAAAAGTATGTTTAACCTTTACCGATTTATAGTCACTTCTGAACAAATTTGCGTAACCAGGATATTGGAGTAGGGTAAGGCGGGGCACAAAGGTCCAATTGGAATTTGAGCAATTATTTTGTAAAAACGAAAACAATTATATCACAACAAGTAAAACATATCAGACAAGCAACTATCTGACTATGGTCAGTAAAACTCCCAACTAATTCATCATTGTAAAAATGTGTTTTTTTGCTGTTTAACAAAAATTTGTAACCTGGCCCATTATACCCCATAGGCGGCGGGGTAAATTCGGACAGTCAGGAGGCAAACAGGTCCAGTGTTCTATTATTAATTTTAAAGAAATTTTACAAAATAATAGCAACATTATTCAACGAAAGTCAAATATAAATTCCATGGGTGCATTTTTTTCAGAGATAACACTATGTACAACCTTGATCTGGTGTTTTGTAAGAAATTTTCATCAGCAGAGTTGGAATAACTATTTATTCAATTTATCTTTTTTGCTTAAAATATATTATAAATTGCTTTTTTCAGCTTATTTTACTATTTTTGATCATTTAAACCTTTGCCAGGGTAAAAGTTCAGTTGGTCCTGTTTAAGGTCTCGTACACTAAACAACAGTGCTCACGACCAATAAAACTAACAAGAGAAAAAAATACTTTTGTTATGGATTTTCAAACATTGCTGAATAGCAAAGTCGTAAGAATCAAGGTGGTGACTGGTTACACATCTTTTGCCCTCTACTTTCAAATATTTTTGTTGACAAATTCTTAAATTCGCTTGTTTTTGAGGTGATGGACCTTTTTACCCTCCCTATAAGTTGATGTACGGCATTATAATATTAGACTTAATTATAGATACATCAATTTTGTTCAAATTTTGCTAATGCATCATTCATATTAATCGAATGGTTTGAAAGATACAAGAGATATAATAAATAAATGCACAAATGAGTTGCACTTTTAAAGTATCTATTAATTAGAGTATATTGGCAGGTGTTTTGGTAATATATATACCAATATCGGTGAATATTAGTTATATATATATATATATATATAATATATATATATATATATATATATATATATCAGGATCTATCATATCTATCTGAAATCTACAAAACAGATCCAAGTATTGATCTGTAAACAAAATATAGACAAAAAATTGAAGTTTGTTTTATGTATATAAATTTATTGGGTTCTTGTACATTTTTTGA